TAAAATGCAGATATTTTTAAAATTATACAATTAAAAAATCAAAATATATATTATAAATGGTAGGGGATACAGGGTAAACACCGAAATCTACTTAATTTAGAATAGTTACTTATAATCTCCAGTTCTTTGGTCAGCCGTATCGACAATTTACCGGTGGGTCCTCTATTTTTGTGTGCATGTAAAAGGTTAGACTATGGCGCTAGCAAAAAAACAAAATGCAACAAAGTAGAGTCACTTAATATTCTTGTTGAAATTACGGATAGAATATGGTAGAAAGTAACAATCAGATATTGTAGAAGCCATGTAATTGTTTAATTGTTGAGGAAAAAGTATTTTTCATACGCTGACCATGTTTATGTCCGCTGGTACGCGACCAGATCTTTTCCAAACCTTTGCCCGTAGGGTTCATGAGCCTACGACCAAATGGTCGTCGAAGGGCATTTTTGGGCAAATTCGGTCGAAACCGATGCTGCGTTCGTACCCTAGAGCCTACGAACAGTGACTCAAACTTAATTTTAATTGATATGCAAAGATCTGGCGAGAATGCTTGAGCTAGTGATTATGCAATTTATCGGTGACGAGCTTTCCTCTAGCATATCTTGATTTCAAGCGAATCAATGAGAAACCAGTGAATAAAATACCTGACAGCCATAGTACAAGTTGGTATATCTCACCTTCTCTACATTGGCGCCACTAAAATGTTAATCTCCTTGTTTCTAAACGATCAAATACTTATCTGTTCTCTTTTAATCGGAAGTGATTCTACGGTGCTATTAAAAGAGTTTCCGTTATATCCCACAACGAAATCCGGCTTTATATGTCTGAACTCTGGTACATGTTCACTCAATCTTTCAGTACATGGTGCCCTATTTTTGGCAGTTGATCTTTCCTTCGTGAATATTAAACCACAAATGTCTTCGTTTGAAGATGAAACTGTTGAAAAGTGTTACGTTTATTAGTAGTAATATTTAGACATTTACTTTTTTAAAATAGTTAAATCTACGATAAACTGGGAATGTGGGATGAAGCAGAAATGTTTCTGTAACCCAATTTAGGTATGTATAGCAAGTCTTACGCAAGACAATAATAAAAACAGATAGAATTCGAGGGCGATTCTTGGAAGAAAAATTCATAGTATTTCTAAGGCAACAGCGACCGGAGTGCGATAATTTTAGCATACATTACAGGTTATAGGTCTAATGATAATAGAAAGTGATTAAAATTTTAACTTCAATTTTCGTAAAATAGCTGAGATATGCCATCTTGCAGTAGCCTAATGAATACCCGACAGGTTACCCATCACTGATAGTCTGTGGTTCTCGCCGCTAGATGACGCTACATACAAACGTCATCTGTCAAACGTTATGTGTATCATTGATAAGTGTGAGTTGTGTCTCTAAGCGCTAGATGGTGTCGATGTCGCACTGGTGTCGTAGAGTGACCCACATACAGGGTCGATAGAAATTTTTGGGCCCTACCGACGGGTCGATGAACCGACGGTATAATGTCAGATCGAAATAAGCTCCATTCACATGGGAGGTGTGTGTGGAATTGCTCGTGGGAGACACGGACCTTGTCGTATATAGCAAGACGTGTCCTAAAATGGTGATACCCATTGGTCGCTCAGCCATACAGGTCGGTCAGACAGAAGTTTTTGGGACCGGGGTGCTCTGATTGGTGGATCAGACGGCGGGAAATTTGAACGGTGTTGATGGTATAGCTGAATGGTGGACGGCGGGGTCGGGTGCGTTGGTAATCACCTATGTCGCAAATGAGGTTAGATAGATAGTCGTTCAGTGAAGGTGTTGTCGTAGCGGAGATATGCAAGAAGTACTGCTCGCGGGGGTGTCAACGAGTTAATATTGGCCAACGATAACAGCGGTGACCCTGGAACACTGTTGTCACACGGTTGCAAAAGATGACAGGTTATCTCTTAATTTTCGTAAACAACGATTTTTCTAAGTGGTAAAAACAGGTCGAAATTTTAAATACCTATGAATCACCGCAAATTATCTTGTCAGTTATCTGCTGCGAACAAAACATGCTCAGCTCAGACTTATCTAAAAAGTGGTGGAAAATCGATATTATAAAAATATTTATGAATCACCGCAAATTCTCTTAGACGTGCTCTTATCAGTTCAGACTTAGTTAAAACTGGTGGGTAAAATCGAGATTATAAATACCTATGAATCACCGCAAATTACCTTGTCAGTTATCTGCAGTGAACAGACGTGCTCAGTTCAGACTTAGCAATTCCCAACGCTCCTCCGTGGCCATTCCCCTTACCCTCTCGCGAGTGCGCGCATGCGCATGCGGCTCGTTCTGGTCTATAGACATATGATCGCTAATGATCTTGAACAAAGATGTCCTGATACACGAACCGCCAGAGGTACATCAGAAGTAATGTTAGTATTGTGTGTGCGTGTTTTTTGAACACGCTAAGTCGTGATGTACATCACGTGACGTACGTCACGTGACCTACGTGACGTGCGTGTGACAGGTGACGTACGTGTGACAGGTGACGTACGTGTGACAGGTGACGTGCGTCACGTGGCACGTGACGTGCGTCACGTGACACTTGACGCACGTGGCGTAGATACTGGTGCACTCTGGGCGCCCCCCACCACTTCCACTTTTTGGCCACGCCCACCACATCCACCGCGTGCTCTGATTGGCGGATCAACGGCGGGAAATTTGAACGGGGTTGATGGTATATGTTGATTGGCGGGAACCGCTAGATCCACCGCGTGCTCTGATTGGCGGATCAAACGGCGGGAAATTTGAACGGGGTTGATGGTATATGTTGATTGGCGGGAACCGCTAGATCCACCGCGTGCTCTGATTGGTGGATCAGACGGCGGGAAGTTTGAACGGGTTGATGGTATATGTTGATTGGCGGGCCCCGTTAGATAGCGCACCCGACCGGAAGTGATTCAGACAGCCGACGATAGTAAGGTGTAGTATAACGTCTATGCGTAAGCGATGTGATTCATTTCATGTTTTGCGGTAAATATTTGCATATAGATCGATAAAAGCCCATGAATAATGATATTTATAGATGCAATTCTGCTGATTCAGTTTAAATGGAAAAACGTATAAAATTCGCGGGAAACAATGCGTATAGGATGATCTCAATAATCAACACGTCATATTCAGTGTGCATATAAAAATGGAATTGCTCATATATGTGGTGCATACAGTTAATGTTAGTTAATTTTTAACATTGATACAATATTGAAACATAGTACAGTCTATATTGTGTATCTAATAAATTCACAAGGCAATCACCTACGTCGCAAATGAGGTTAGGTTCAGGGCAGGTGTTGTCGTAGCGGTGATATGCAAGAAGTACCGGGCGGGGCTGTTAAGCATGGGTGAATGGGCAGGAAGCGCAGGCTGTCAACGAGTTAATACTGACCAACGATAACAGCGGTGACCTTGAAACACTGTGGTCAGTTAAAAAGTGGTGGGGGTAAAATCGAGATTATAAATACCTATGAATCACCGCAAATTATCTTGTCAGTTATCTGCAGCGAACAGACGTGCTCAGTTCAGATTTAGTCGCTAGTTAACGTTTTAGTTTTTAAAAAATGGAAAAATTCTTCATCGTTAAGGATTCTACTAAGAAGATTAAAAAATTTAATCTATATGGGCGAGAAGTGGAATTTAAAATACGACCTATCCCTAAAGACGTCGAACCTGTGGGATGGATCAAAGACGCTCTGGAGGAATAGTAGCCAAAGGAACTGAACATCTCCAGCCCAGTGATCAAGTTGGATTCACTTTCTGTTCCAAAGACTTTGCCCGCGGTCAAGGATGGATAGCTTTTAAATTGTTTTCCGACGTTTCAACTGAGGACATATGGGAGAAGATATCTTCCATCTATCAGTCAAATTCTGTGGGGTTGAATACCGAGACTTTTTGCTTGGGTATTACGTCCGTAAGGTTGCCTGCTGGTCGTGGTAGAGCTCAGAATTTCAATACCTTTGATGAGGAATGCGCCAAAAGAAAAGGCATTATCACCGTTAAAAACACCGATAATTTGTGTCTCCCACGAGCCCTTGTCATCGCCATGGCCCATTTGAACAAAGACAAAGATTATAGCAGAATCCGCCGTGATCGAGGAAAAATACAAGGACAAAGAGCTGTACAACTTGTGGAAAGGCTGATATTGTTATCCCTGAGGAGGGGTGTGGAATACTGAACTTCAAAAGCTACAACGATATCTGCAAAACTACAAAATTGTTGTATACAAGTTTGGGTGCAAAGGTCGTGACGGTCATTTTTGAAGGCGTGTCCGCTGGTTCGACGCTTAACCTAATATATCACGAGGGCACTACAGCGTCATAACATCCCTCACTGCTGCCTTTTGCTGCAGCTTTTTTGTGAGAACTGCCACATTCCGTATAAATACTAAACAAATTCATAGATGTGATAAACAATGTTATGCTTGTAAAAGATCTCCGGCCTGCCTGAAAACGAAGCACATCAAATGCAAAGATGTAATAGAAGCTTTTATGGACAAGAATGTTTTAACGCTCATTTACCATCGGTCTGTTCTAAAATTAAAAGATGTGTAGACTGTTTTAAAGTTCACAACGGTAATGATCACATCTGCGGATATATACTTTGTAAAACATGTTATAAAAATCAACCAATTGAACATATGTGCTATATACAGCCTAACAGAAGTATTCCTAAATCAAATGATGTCTTATTAATATTTTACGATTTGGAAACCCGTCAGGAGAAGGAATTACCCAATGGATCTTTACTGCATGAGCCAAATCTATGTGTATTCAAACAATGTTGTGAATCATGTACCGATAATCCTATATGCAAGAAATGTGGCCTTCGAATACAGATTCTTCGATGTCAAGACGTCATTTCTCCATTTATGCATCATATTCTGACACTTCGTAAAAAATTCAAGAAAGTCATTGTACTGGCGCATAATGGTGGAGGATTTGATCATCAGTTTCTACTTCGTTACATTTTAGAGAAGACTAGTCTGTACCCGAATGTAACTATGAGAGGAACAAAATTAATATTGATGGAGGTAGGAAATGTAAAATTTCTGGATTCTCTCAATTATTTTCCTATGCCTCTAACTGCTCTACCCAAGGCGTTTGATTTGAAAGAGCTAAAGAAAGGATACTTTCCACATTTATTCAACACTTTGGCTCATCAGAATTATGTAGGGCCAATTCCAGCGCTCGACTTCTACGATCCCGACCATTTAAAGGAAGACGCTCGGGAAAAATTATTAAAATGGCATGGCGAAAGACAAGCGGAGGGATACGTTTTTGATTTTCAGAAAGAAATCGTTGAATACTGTATCTCCGATGTGGAAATATTGACACAGGCGTGTCTCAAATTTCGAGACCTGATGAAAACCGAAACCACAGTCGATCCCTTCCAGGAAAGCACCACTATTGCATCATGCTGTAACAAAGTCTTTAGACGCAATTTTTTAAAACCTGAGACGATCGGGGTAATTCCAAAAGGGGGCTATAGATGGCGTGAAAATCAGTCAAAAATTGCCATCCAATGGCTGTTGTGGGAGGAACATCAAAGAGGAATCAAAATTCAACACGCCGCTAAGGGTATAGAAACCATTGTTAAGGGACATAAAGTAGACGGTTTTTGTAGCGACACAAATCAAGTGTTTGAATTCCAAGGATGCTATTTTCACGGTTGCCCTCGATGTTTCAAATACAAAAGAAGCAATCCTCTGCATAATGATCCGTTGAATACATTGGAAAGTCGATACGAACAATCAGTTAGCAAAGTAGAGAGACTCCGAAGCCTTGGACTAGAAGTAATTGAGATATGGGAATGTCAATTTCGAGGAATGCTAAACGATGAAATTAGAGCCTTCACAGAAGCACATCCATTGATAATCAATTTACCGATTAACCCCAGAGACGCTCTCTACGGGGGACGTACAGAAAATATCGTTGAATACTACAAGATCAAAACAAATGAATGCATAAAATATGTCGATATATGTTCCCTGTACCCCTTCATCTGTAAATATGGAAAATTTCCGGTGGGTCATCCAAAAAAAATTTACGTAGGTGAAGAATGTGTTACAGCCTCTCTGTCGCAGATGTCAGGACTTATTAAATGCCAGATTCTACCGAACCAGAACTTATATCACCCCGTTTTACCGTCAAAAATGAACAACAAATTGATGTTTGTTAACTGTCAAAAATGTGGTGAAGATTTCGTTCGAGAAGAGTGTCAGCATTCTATTCAAGAAAGAAGCCTAAAAGGAACTTGGGTGATAGAAGAGGTGCTCAAAGCTATTGAAAAAGGTTACCAGATTATAGAGACTTACGAAATATGGGAATACGATACAATTCAGCTCAGTAAAGACCAAGAGGGGTTATTTAGCGGAATGATGAACAAGTTTCTACAAATAAAACAACAAGCTTCAGGATGGCCCAAACATTGCTTAACGGATGAAGAAAAAAACCGTTATATTGATGCATTTTTGGATAGAGAAGACATAAAGCTGGAATTTTCAAAAATTATAGAGAACCCCTGTTTGAGATCGTTAGCTAAACTTATGCTGAATTCCTTTTGGGTAAATTTGCTCAAAAAGAAAACCAAAACAAAACCTCAATAGTCAGAGACTGTGGTGAATTCTTTGATATGCTGACTAATCCTTCTATTCATGTAAATACAGTTCTCCCGGTAAACGAAGAAACCCTTCTCATAACTTGGGAATTTAGAGAAGAGGCCTATGACGTTTCTTCAACGGTTAACGTTGTATTGGCTTCATATGTCACGGCCCTAGCTAGACTAAAATTATATTCATTCTTGGAGAAAGTGGAAGAAAGGGCAGTTTACGTAGATACAGATTCATGTATTTATATCTCTCGTAAGGGATTAGACGACATATCTACAGGAGACTTCATAGGTGATATGACCGATGAGCTCAATGGGGGTTTCATATCAGAGTTTGTTTCTGGAGGACCTAAGAACTACGCCTACAAATATACTACTTTGTCTGGAGAGGAACAGATCGTATGTAAAGTAAAAGGCATATCACTCAACTACAAGGCATCCCAAGTAGTCAATTTTGAGAAAATAAAAGACATGGTGCTGAAGAAATCTGATCCTGTTTCTGTACTTTCTCGACAGCTACGACGTACAAGAGAGCATGCAGTAGTAACAGTCGAGTTTCCTAAGGTATACAAGATAACTTCAATGAAAAGGAAATTCTATGAAGATCATACCTCTGTACCATTTGGATTTAAGAAAATAAAGTATTGATTTATTAATGTATGTAAATATTTTTTAATAAACATGTAAAATAAAATGTATGCAAATGATTTTTTGTTTTTTATTTCCCGCCTAATTGAAAAATATTTTTGCACCCGAAATTGTTCAGCCTTTTTACTCCATATAAAATATTTAAAAGTATGCATTGTTATTATTAAACGCCTGCAGTAATATACACCAAAAAAATTGAGAAGCAGTGTAACCATGTGGAACTTTGTATAATCACAAAAAAACATATCTTGGAAAATAAAAAATACAGCAGATTCATAAGCAGTGTAGAGAGGAAACTACGTAAAAGTAATCGATTATTACTAATAAAATAGAGTTTTGAATTCCTATTTTTACAATAATAATCATTTTACTATCTTACGTGTTGGGCACTGCACTGCACGGGTACCAACACTGTACTGCACGGGCACGAAAATTGAGAAGCATGATAACCATGTAGAACTTCGTATCACTACGTAAATGGTATTACGAAAAGTAGAAATAAAAACTATATTTTCGATAATAGCTATACTATTTTTTATGAGCACCGAAAAAATTGAGAAGCACGATAACCTCATAGAACTTCGAAACAGCACCAGAGACAACCGAAGGCTACAGAAAAAAACACATACTGAAAAGGCATAACATCTATCAGCGCTGGTATCCGATAATACTGTTTCCTTTGACATTCGTTGGGATATGAAAACACATATTTGCTTCCCACCGTTATAACGGAAATAATAGTTACTGCAAAAGCAGTTTCACGATAAGACCATACATTAATCTACAAAGTTGATAATAAAACATATGTACTATTAAAATGCAGATATTTTTAAAATTATACAATTAAAAAATCAAAATAATATATTATAAATGGTAGGGGATACAGGGTAAACACCGAAATATACTTAATTTAGAATAGTTACTTATAATCTCCTCAGTTCTTTGGTCAGCCGTATCGACAATTTACCGGTGGGTCCTCTATTTTTGTGCATGTAAAAGGTTAGACTATGGCGCTAGCAAAAAAAAACAAAATGCAACAAAGTAGAGTCACTTAATATTCTTGTTGAAATTACGGATAGAATATGGTAGAAAGTAACAATCAGATATTGTAGAAGCCATGTAATTGTTTAATTGTTGAGGAAAAAGTATTTTCATACGCTGACCATGTTTATGTCCGCTTGGTACGCGACCAGATCTTTTCCAAACCTTTGCCCTGTAGGGTTCATGAGCCTACGACCAAATGTGTCGTCGAAGGTGCATTTTTGGCCAAATTCGGTCGAAACCGATGCTGCGTTCGTACCCTAGAGCCTACGAACAGTGACTCAAACTTAATTTTAATTGATATGCAAAGATCTGGCTAGAATGCTTGAGCTAGTGATTATATGCAATTTATCGGTGACGAGCTTTCCTCTAGCATATCTTGATTTATTCAAGCGAATCAATGAGAAACTAGTGAATAAAATTACCTGACAGCCATAGTACAAGTTGGTATATCTACACCTTCTCTTACATTTGGCGCCACTAAAATGTTAATCTCCTTGTTTCTAAAAACGATCAAGTACTTATCTGTTCTTCTTATTAATCGGAAGTGATTCTACGGTGCTATTAAAAGAGTTTCCGTTATATCCCACAACGAAATCCGGCTTTATATGTCTGAACTCTGGTACATGTTCACTCAAATCTTTCAGTACATGGTGCAATATTTTTGGCAGTTGATCTTTCCTTCGTGAATATTAAACCACAAATGTCTTCGTTTGAAGATGAACTGTTGAAAAGTGTTACGTTTATATTAGTATTAATATTTATGACATTTACTTTTTTAAAATAGTTAAATACTACGATAAACTGGGAATGTGGGATGAAGCAGAAATGTTTCTGTAACCCAATTTAGGTATGTATGTATGTATGTCTTACGCAAGACAATAATAAAAACAGATAGAATTCGAGGGCGATTCTTGGAAGAAAAATTCATAGTATTTCTAAGGCAACACCGACCGGAGTGCTATAATTTTAGCATACATTTACAGGTTATAGGTCTAATGATAAATAGAAAGTGATTAAAATTTTAACTTCAATTTTCGTAAAATAGCTGAGATATGCCATCTTGCAGTAGCCTGAAATGAAATACCCGACAGGTTACCCATCACCTGATAGTCTGTGGTTCTCGCCGCTAGATGACGCTACATACAAACGTCATCTGTCAAACGTTATGTGTATCATTGATAAGTGTGAGTTGTGTCTCTAAGCGCTAGATGGTGTCGATGTCGCACTGGTGTCGTAGAGTGACCCACATACAGGGGTCGATAGAAATTTTTGGGGCCCTACCGACGGGTTGATGAACCGACGGTATAACGTCAGATCGAAATAAGCTCCATTCACATGGGAGGTGTGTGTGGAATTGCTCGTGGGAGACACGGACCTTGTCGTATATAGCAAGACGTGTCCTAAAATGGTGATACCCATTGGTCGCTCAGCCATACAGGTCGGTCAGACAGAAGTTTTTGGGACCGGGGTGCTCTGATTGGTGGATCAGACGGCGGGAAATTTGAACGGTGTTGATGGTATAGCTGAATGGTGGACGGCGGGGTCGGGTGCGTTGGTAATCACCTATGTCGCAAATGAGGTTAGATAGATAGTCGTTCAGTGAAGGTGTTGTCGTAGCGGTGATATGCAAGAAGTACTGCTCGCGGGGGTGTCAACGAGTTAATATTGGCCAACGATAACAGCGGTGACCCTGGAACACTGTTGTCACACGGTTGCAAAAGATGACAGGTTATCTCTTAATTTTCGTAAACAACGATTTTTCTAAAGTGGTGAAAACAGGTCGAAATTTTAAATACCTATGAATCACCGCAAATTATCTTGTCAGTTATCTGCTGCGAACAAAACATGCTCAGCTCAGACTTATCTAAAAAGTGGTGGGAAAATCGATATTATAAAAATATTTATGAATCACCGCAAATTCTCTTAGACGTGCTCTTATCAGTTCAGACTTAGTTAAAACTGGTGGGTAAAATCGAGATTATAAATACCTATGAATCACCGCAAATTACCTTGTCAGTTATCTGCAGTGAACAGACGTGCTCAGTTCAGACTTAGCAATTCCCAACGCTCCTCCGTGGCCATTCCCCTTACCCTCTCGCGAGTGCGCGCATGCGCATGCGGCTCGTTCTGGTCTATAGACATATGATCGCTAATGATCTTGAACAAAGATGTCCTGATACACGAACCGCCAGAGGTACATCAGAAGTAATGTTAGTATTGTGTGTGCGTGTTTTTTGAACACGCTAAGTCGTGATGTACATCACGTGACGTACGTCACGTGACCTACGTGACGTGCGTGTGACAGGTGACGTACGTGTGACAGGTGACGTGCATCACGTGACACGTGACGCACGTGGCACGTGACGTGCGTCACGTGACACTTGACGCACGTGGCGTACGTCACGTGACACGTGACGTGCACACTTTGTTCAAAAATACCAAAAAGCTGTCTTGATAGCCCGAACCGCCAGAGGTACAACATCAGAAGTAATGTTAGTGCGTGGTTGAGGTTCAAAAACTTAGCGTGTTCAAAAAAAAACGTACCTAGACCAAAAGTCATTCTAGACCAGTCACTCTAGACCAAAGCACAAAAAAAACGCCGTTTTTCAACGCCTTTTTTGTCACCATTCCCCTTAGTAGCGCGCATGCACATGGGGCTCGTTCTGCTGGTGCTGGTGCTGGCGCGGGCGTAGATAGCGTTTGTGGTAAGGGTTGGGGGTAGGTCTTGTTCTCTTATCGCGCACGAGTAAGTTTGTTTGTTGTGTACCATAGGATAGTGGTAAGAGAACAAGACCTACCCCCAACCCTTACCACAAACGCTATCTACGCCCGCGCCAGCACCAGCACCAGCAGAACGAGCCCCATGTGCATGCGCGCTACTAAGGGGAATGGTGACAAAAAAGGCGTTGAAAAACGGCGTTTTTTTTGTGCTTTGGTCTAGAGTGACTGGTCTAGAATGACTTTTGGTCTAGGTACGTTTTTTTTTTGAACACGCTAAGTTTTTGAACCTCAACCACGCACTAACATTACTTCTGATGTTGTACCTCTGGCGGTTCGGGCTATCAAGACAGCTTTTTGGTATTTTTGAACAAAGTGTGCACGTCACGTGTCACGTGACGTACGCCACGTGCGTCAAGTGTCACGTGACGCACGTCACCTGTCACACGTACGTCACCTGTCACACGCACGTCACGTAGGTCACGTGACGTACGTCACGTGATGTACATCACGACTTAGCGTGTTCAAAAAACACGCACACACAATACTAACATTACTTCTGATGTACCTCTGGCGGTTCGTGTATCAGGACATCTTTGTTCAAGATCATTAGCGATCATATGTCTATAGACCAGAACGAGCCGCATGCGCATGCGCGCACTCGCGAGAGGGTAAGGGGAATGGCCACGGAGGAGCGTTGGGAATTGCTAAGTCTGAACTGAGCACGTCTGTTCACTGCAGATAACTGACAAGGTAATTTGCGGTGATTCATAGGTATTTATAATCTCGATTTTACCCACTAGTTTTAACTAAGTCTGAACTGATAAGAGCACGTCTAAGAGAATTTGCGGTGATTCATAAATATTTTTATAATATCGATTTTCCCACCACTTTTTAGATAAGTCTGAGCTGAGCATGTTTTGTTCGCAGCAGATAACTGACAAGATAATTTGCGGTGATTCATAGGTATTTAAAATTTCGACCTGTTTTTACCACTTTAGAAAAATCGTTGTTTACGAAAATTAAGAGATAACCTGTCATCTTTTGCAACCGTGTGACAACAGTGTTCCAGGGTCACCGCTGTTATCGTTGGCCAATATTAACTCGTTGACACCCCCGCGAGCAGTACTTCTTGCATATCACCGCTACGACAACACCTTCACTGAACGACTATCTATCTAACCTCATTTGCGACATAGGTGATTACCAACGCACCCGACCCCGCCGTCCACCATTCA